TCCATCCTCCTGAGACTTCACATTCCACCTCCCATAGCCTTGCACAGCAGTCCCACTCCCCCCAGCTTCTGGAAGGAACACAACTCAGATGAATCTGCAGAATTCTTCCAAGTTACACTTGTGCTGACAGCTATCAAACACTAGCCTGGGTCTCCAGACACTTGCCAGTTTTCACAAAACTAGTAGATTAACTAAATATTGAGGGACTAATGTTCAATTATCATTGTCATGTTTCTTATTTCATTTTCCATAATTAAATGTTAGATTTTGATACGATACATTATCTCCAGACTACTAGTGTTGCATAACAGTTTAATTTTATGTGATCTTACCATGCAGATTTAACTACCTTTTGCAGTTAATGTCTTGGCTTATATTGTGGTGGTCTGGGCAGTGCTGGGTTAACAGCTGGACTTGGTGCTCCTAAAGGTTTTTTCTAACCTAAACAATTCTATGATCTTTGAGTTTTGTAAAAGTTGCTCAAGAAATACTGAGAAGGCAAGAGAGTAGAATGGAAGGTTTGTGTGAAACAGTGGACTAGAAGTGTGAAACTATGATTAGAATTACCACTTGGCAATGGCCTCTAAGGTATCTTGAAGACCATACTTAGAAATACATCCTGCTTTCAATTTTAAACCTCTAAATCCTTCCTTTTGACTCTCACACAGACTGAATGGGAAAGAAAAACCTGGAACAGCAGCAACACGGCTGCAAAAATCTTTGCATCTACCCATGCACTCACCCTTACATTATTGCTATCCCTGGGACCAGAGAATTTAGAAACCTTCAGAATACATAAATTCTATACCAGCCCTAATACCACAGACAGGCTGGCAGCCCAGAGTGTCTGTATATATATGTATTTGGAAGTTCCAAGTAGTTTTGCATAGTCTATCCTGAAACACAAAAAACCCCCCCACCCACAGTGTCACAGCCTTCCCTGCTACTGTTGGCCAGAGCTACCTAAATATATTTTAATTACACTTTGGACTGCAATTGTAGATTGAGTTGATAGTTTGCTTGAAGAGCTCAGGAGCAAAGGAGAATCATTCTGCCTGCTTCAGAACTTCCATTTAGTTATTGCAAATAAATTTCCAAGCAACTCAAAGAGGTTTGTTACAGCAACATTCCACTTCCCAGACTCCTGCAAGGGCTCAGCTTTCAGCAAGGCTGCAGGGCACGTGATGTTAAAACTGTAGCTCTACATTATCTCAGGCCACTTTGAAGTGTTACTATGAGCATTTTAACAACCCACAATTAAAACCGCTAAGTAACCTGCCACAATCAATTTACTGCAGACGTTCTCAGCACTGCTTTACAACGAGAAACAGAATTGCAAAGTGCATTTTCAACGGATCTGCTGACTGAAGGCAATATAACAATTGCAATCTGCCCTTTTCTCCAGTACTCTTTGCTTCAGAAGAGCAGAAACAGTCTGTATTCTGGAAGGGAAACACTTGGAGGCAGGACTCAAAGGAATGAGCAGCTGCCAGAAAGACAAATATGCAGCCATGGGAGGTGAGCATTCATTCCTCCCGCAGACACAGCACAAGGTATGGATCTGGCAGGGAGGCAGAGGCCAACTCCCAACAGCTGCTGCAATCACCACTCTGACACTCCTGTAATCACTTCTGCTACAATGGATTCAGATTCACTTTAGCAGCCACCCATATTCTCTAGTTAGTGGAGGGAAAGGGGAAAAAAAGGAACACCGTTGTCATTGTCCCAAAATAACTGCTGGAAGACGATGAATGGCCCAGGACTATTATTCTCTGTTGCTAATATCTCAGCAGAAGGTATTACTGACTTGATTCATATCAGAATGTGGAATTGTATTCGACTAATGTTCTCAGAGGAATTAAAAAAAAAAAGTGCTGGCATTTTGTATAAAATCTTTTCAACAACAGATTATGAATATTTATAGAGGGAGCAAACTATTTTTAAATGCTTTCTCCTGTGCCAGAAGAGCTTTCCCACATTAGTCAAATACAACATTTTAATGCCTAGAACTGCAGACACATAAACTAGCCAGGTTGCATTTACTCTGTTTTGTTTTTTTTTAATTTATTTTTAATTATTATGATTTCATGAGAGGAGTGAGCAAAACTTCATCAATGTTTCTGCACAAATCCCATAAGCCGTGCAAGAGAACTGCAGCACTGTGTCAAAACAGCTTAATAAATATTAAGACTTAAAATTAAGCTACATTTCTTGTGAAAGTTCGGGGCAGGCAATGCACATTCTCTGCCTTTTTAGCACAAAATAAAATGGAAATGGGCACTACAGGCTCTCAGAAAACAAAAAATTACTGGAGTTTACAGATTATGAAAAGTTTCAATCTTTATCATTTTGCTAGCAGCATTTTTTAGTATTGAAAACTGAATTTGCTAGGAGAAAAACTAAGTGCATTCTTTTGCAGTTACTGGTGGTTTATAACACCGTTCAATACACTGCTTAAAAATGGTGTCCTAGACTGCAGCTGCAAATTTAATTTTCCAAGCATCAACCAATGCAGTGGTTCTCTCTAGGTATTTGACACACTACTCCACCAGTGACACTATGGCTAACTTCATATTTTTAAAGACAGAAGTGAGTTTAAAAATGCCTGATGAAAAATCTTCAGAATTTCAGAAAAAAATGTGAAAAAAACCCCGCATAAAACCCCCTAAACTTCACAGTGTTTTATTTACTGCTCTTGGCTCTGACAGTTAAAGCCTACAGTGGAACTAGATAAGGTCCCAAATGAGGAACTAGGAAACAGTGAATCTCTTCCTGAAGATATTTTTCTTTTTTTTTTTTCGCCCAGTGAATACTCTGGACAGGTTAGGGAATGAACAAAAGCAAAGCCCACATGGATTTACTCAACCAGAAATCTCAAAAGTAACCCAAAGGGTTAGTACCCATCCCAGTAACAGAGCACAGCACTTGAATTTCTCAAGAAATCACTGACCCTGAATGCTGCTAAGCTTTGCTGCCTGTCTTCATCTTTGGCCTTGACTGGCACTCCAGTACCTCCATTTCCAGTATTCTGCAATCAAACTTAGCTATTTTAACTTTTTTTTCTACATTTTTCACAACCTCCTTCATAACTGATGCTGTGGTGCTTATCAGGCAAACTCCTTTCCTTTTGTGGCAATCAAACCAGAAATGCATCATGCATGAGATGTTAATTTAAATCAAAGACCTCACAGACTCCTTTACCTTGCAGCTTAAACTCTCATCACACAATCATCAGGGGTGGAAGGGACCTCTGAAGATCAACTTCCTTGCCAAGGCAGGGTCACCTGGAGCAGGTGACACAGGAACACGACTAAGTGGGTTTGGAATGGCCCCACAGAGGGAGACTCCACACCCTCCCTGGGCAGCCTGTGCCAGGGCTCTGCCACCCTCAGTGTAAAGCTGTTCTTCCTCACATTGAGGTGGAACTTCTCGTGGTTTAGTTTATGGCCATTGCTCCTTGTCCTGTCGCTGGGCACCACTGTAAAAGGGCCTGGCACCATCCTCTGGCACGAACATCTGGCACCCGCCTTGGAGATATTTATGTGCATTGATGAGATCTCCTGTCAGCCTTCTCCTGACTAAACAGGCCCAGCTCCCGCAGTCCATCCTCACTAGAGAGATGCTCCAGATCCCCTCATCCCCTTTGTGGCCTCTGCTGGACCCTCTCCAGCAGCTCCATTTCCCTCTTGCACTGAGGAGCCCAGACCTTCACACAGCACTCCAGATGTGCCTCACTAGGGCTGAGTGGAGGGGCAGGATCACCTCCCTCGACCTGCTGGCCACGCTCTTCCCGATGCACCCCTGGATCCCTTTGGTTCTCCTGGTTGCAAGGGCACACTTACGAACCTCTTTACTTCGATTTCTTTGTACTTTCCCCTTAAGCATATCTATTTCCAAGTAATTCTATTCACTGAACACAAAACTATAGTCATACACAAGTAGTTTTTATTTCCCACTCCAGACTGAGCGTCTGGTCCTCACCTCGCAGCCCCCTCAGTGTCACTTGCAAACACCTGGTGTGATAACAGCACCAGAAATGCAGGGAAGCCACTCGCACCTAATTGTTTCCAGGCCACTGACGCCCACAGGGAGGCACACGGGAAGACTCGAGCTAAGTGATACTTTTGTTTACCACTCGGCTTTCATTCATTTATTTATAAGGACCGGACAAGGAGCAATGGGTACAAACCGAAAGCGGGGAAATTTAGGCTGGATATGAGGATGGAATTCTTTATTGTGAGGGTGATGAGGCACTGGCACAGGTTGCCCAGAGAAGCTGTGGCTGCCCCATCCCTGTAAGTGTTTAAAGCCAGGCTGGATGGAGTTTTGAGCAACCTGGTTTAGCGGAGGTGTCCGTGCCCATGGCAGGGGGGTGGAATGAGGTGATCTTTAAGGTCCCTTCCAACCCAAACCTCCTGTGATTCTCACAGCGCTCGCAGCCCGATAAACGCCGACAGCGCTGGTGACAGAGCCCTGCCGAGGAGAGGGCCCTGCCCTTCCCTGCATCCCCACATCCCATTCCACCCGCCGCCTTCCCTGCCAGCTCCCGGCACGGCCGCGGCTCCCACAGCGCGGGGGTGCGGCCGGGCGAGCCCCGCCGGCCCGGGCTCATTCCCACCCCGCCGCTGTTCCCGGCGGTGCCCGTGGGATCAGCGGGATCCGCTCCCGGAGCCGCCGCCGCGCACAAAGGGCCCACCGGGCCCTGCGACCCCCCCAGCCTCGCCGCCCGCAGCCCGGCCGGGCACCGCCGGCAAAGCTTACTCTGCGTGTCGGACAGGGAGATCATGGTGGCGGCGGGAGCGGGATGAGCGGGACCGGGATCGGCGGGATCGGGAGCGGTGGGAGCGGCCACGTCTTCCGGAAACACGCACCGCCGGGTGAGACGCGCCCGCCCATTGGGCAGGGCCGCCGCCAATCAGCGGCCGCCTTGCATCGCCGCGCGGACGCGGCGCCACGCGGTGATTGGCCGAGGGGCGGTGGCGGCGGAAGGGGCGGGGCCCGGGGCGGCTCAGGTGGGACCGGGGTGGAGGACCGGGATAAGGGACTGGGATAAGGGAGCGTGTCCCGGCACTAACTCGTGGGCTGGGCGGCGTCAGCCCGGGCTAGGGCTAAACCCGACGTGCCTGAGGAAGCGACAGCGAGATGCGGAGAGTCCTGCTCCGCCTGCACGGCCCCGGCAGCCTCTGTCCCTTCCTCCATCCTTCCCTCTCTCCTTCCCTCCATCCGTCCTGCTCCGCCCTGCGCCCGATGAGCGAGTGCTTCTCTGCTTGTCCCTGGTATCCTCCCTCCCTCTGTCCGTCCATCACTCCCTCCATCCATCCCGCTCCCCCCTGCCCCGCACCTGCCGTGCAGGTGCTTCCCTGCCTCCCCCGGCAGCCTCCCTCCCTCCGTCCCTGCCTTCCTTTCTTCTCTGCCTTCCTTCCCTCCCTGCCTCCCTCCCTCTCTCCCACCCCGCCTAGCAGGTGCTCCCCCGCCCGGCCGTGCCGGCCCCGTGCCCGCAGCTGATGTTCGGGATGGAAAAGGCTGAGACGGCCCGTGTGTTTATTCCGGCATTGGGACGGGTTGCCCGGGGAGGTGGTGGAGTCGCCATCCCTGGATCTGGCGCTGGGTGATGCGGTTTAGGGGTTACGGTGGTGGACGGTTGGACTGGATGGTCTTAAAGGTCTCTTCCAACCTTCATGATTCCATGATTCTGTCAGTATCCCTATATCCACACCTCCCTGCTGTCGCTTTGGCTCTTTTATGCCCTCCTCTTAATAGTTTCTTGTTGTTTTTCTTTTAAGGTGACCTCCCAGATTTCCGTATGGGGGATTTTGTACCCGGCTGAACTCCCGCTAAGGTGACACATCCTGCTTGTGTAATTTCAGGGTTCTGGGCGTGATAACCTTCTGTTACCATCACTTCTCAGGGTTGGGGCAGGAGGGGTTTGGTATGGAGGCTGGATGAAGGAGGAGTAACAAGGTTTCCAGTACTGGGAAGGTGTTTTCTGTCGGTGCAGAGTGGGAGGTGATGCTGGTGACTCACCTGTCTGCCTCAGGCCGTTGTGTGTCTGCTCAGAGGCCTCTTCCCTGCTCGTGGGCTCTTTAGAAATGGGATAAATTCACAGGAGCTGAACTGTTTTTACAGTGGGGTAAATCTGCCAGATGGACAAGATACTCCCACTTGCCTTTCCTCCACTGTGGTTTGTAAGCTCTGAGTTTAACTTAAGTTTTATGAGCTCATATTAAGTTTTCAGGGTGAGTCAGTTGGCACTTGGGGGTCTTTGTTGGCAGTGGTGGTACAGAATTCTAAGATATGCTGAGCTACTGCTTTTAGAGACAGGCGCTAAATTAAAGACTTGTGGAGCTTTAGCAGCACAAAGGGAAACTTCCATAGGTAATTTTCATTCCCTTCCCACTGCTTGGATAAGAAAATGGCTCATGTTTCCTGGGCTCTCAGCCCAGTGATATTTGTGGGGTTCATGTTTACTGGGCAATAGCAGTAGTGTAATGCATTTTACAGTGTGTCTGTGCCACTCCTACTGATTTTCTGGATGTCCCTGCTTGCTCTGTACTTTGGGGACACTAATGTTTCCATATATGTTTGTGCAAGTGACAGGTGGTATAAAGACAGAACTGTGTAGCTCAAATTTTGTGTGTGACCTGGACACTGCTGAGTTATACAATAGTCAACTTCATTCTGAAGTGGGAACTTTTAACTTACTTTTAATCATAACCTCTTCTGGCAAAGTCAGTGTTTTATTCACACGTTATCTTTAATCTATATTTTCTCCCTGTTTAAAGGAGTACAGCAAAATATTTGTTATGGTAGAATCAGCTGACAGTGAGGATCTGCTGAATTTGTTCCCTTTCACCTTCCCTTGGCTTCCATATATGTAATAGTTCAGAATTCAATAACAGAGAGAACATCAAATTTCTTAAGTTTGATATTGTTACCATATGATATGACAAAGAATGTTGATCAAAAAATGAGCCAATAAATAGAATTCTAAGTTAATTTCACTGATGATCTAATAAAAACTAATCCCCCTTCTCTGAATCAAACTACCTTTCTCCATCTTCCTAGCAGATTCTCTAGGTGTTATGGTGGCTGCTTCTTTATAATTTGTTCAGGCTTTTCTGTAAAATAGTATTTGAAGAGGCAAATAAAAAGATAGGTCAAAGGTATGTGAGTGAGTGGTCTGTGTATGACTCTCAGAAAATTTGTGGCTTGGATACTTATCACTTGGATTCATTTAGAAGGCTGTCAAGCTGTTCCCTTGGGAATTGGTTGTGAGTTTGTCCCTTTTGAAGAAAGGAAAAAGCAGTTGTCATCTAATGGGGCTTGTTTATGTAAGGAGATTAAATGAACCAGTACTTAAACTGTTATATTAACATCGATGTTAATGAAGAATCTCTTGCAGTAAACTTGTTCTAAGTTTAGAAAGTTTGCTTACAAAATATAGTTTTAAATTTATTGATTTTATTTTCTTCTTAGTAGCAGCTGCTTGGTTAAATAAGGTCTCCCAAGGATAACATTGTTAATCTCCAAAGATGACAGCTGTTGCAGGTAATCCACACTTAGTACTCAATATGTTCATTTTGCTTTCTTTTAGCTGACAGACACTGTCTCCTGATGTTACTGCTTGTTATTTGTATGAATGTAATGTATGCAGAAAAGAGTTTGTGGGGTCTATCCTATTATACTTCAGATTTGAAGGAAAAATTTCTTTTACTGGCTAACTTTTATTTCCTAGATAAAAACTAAAACAAAATGCCCCATCCCTGGAAGTGTTCAAGGCCAGGTTGGATGGAGCTCTGAACAACCTGGTCTAGTGGGTGGTGTCCCTGCCCATGGCAGGGGGCTTGGAATGAGATGGTCTTTAAGGTACTTTACAAACCAAAACATACTATGATGACAATCAAGCTTGTCAAGGAAGTTGCTTGGTTTTCAATATTCTGAAAACCTGCTTCATATTTTAAGATACTTTTAACTCCTGCTGAGGTAACAGTGGGCATTTAGGAAGACAAATGTCCCTACTTTGTGCCATTTGAAAGGAGGATATCTTTTTCCATATCATACATGTTTGCTTCCACGAGCACGTTATCGTATCTGCTATGGTTGGATGAAAATCTCTTATTTTGGGGGTTGTCGGGGGAGGAAATGATTTCTTCTTATGGTTTTCCAACCTGACTCTGAAATAGTGATACACACTTGGCATTCAGGGGTGTGTGTTAACTATTCTTTTAAACCCTGAGGACTGGATTCTAGAATGCAATCTGTAATTCATACAGATGCATAATAGGAAGTAAAGAGGCAAATTCACTTATGTAGCCCAAGATTTTAGGGAGTAGTTACTCACTTTTTTTCAGATGTGTAGGGTTGCTTGTCTTCAAAAAAGTGTTTTTTCTCCATATCCAAACCTTGTTGTTCAGTAGATCCTCTTGTTCTGCATAGGAGGGAGATCTTGATGTGTGAAATGTAGCTTTTTGAAACGTCCCTATTTCCACACCCAGAAGACTTTAACTTGCTGAGGTTAATGCTGCTTCTCACATGTAAATGCTTTCTATTAACAATGTTCTCATGTTGTGCTCACCTTGGGATTGGCCTCATCCTTGTGTTCATTGGAACTCTTGCAGCTTTAGTATCAGGCTGCAGTGTGCTTTCCACTGCTTGACATGCAGCTGCAGGAAAGAAAATAATTCCAGATGTTTCTCTGGAGAGGCACTGCTTTTGAGAAACTGGATTTTTATTTTTTTTTTCTCTATTAGTCAACACAGGCAATGATAGTGTTGCATATCTCTCATACAGTGTATCAGAGATGACAGCTTACAGTGCACCTGTGTGTGTATGACCTCCTAACAGAAGAAATAAGTTTTTAAGCCTTGACAAGTATTTTTACATGGCATGTACACTGTTAGATGTTATCATCTTCTCAGTGCCCCTGTCAGGCTGTCTGTCTCTCCAGATGCTTTTTGTTTATGTTTAGTTTGGGATTGTTCTCAACCAACAAATTAAATGCAATTTAAAACTGGGATTAGCACGTTACCGAAATCTCTGCTGTGCCTTCACCTTGCTTTTCCTTGCAGTGCTAGAGGAGGTGCTGGCTTCCATTGAGAATGAGCTGCAAGCAGTGGAGATGCAGATACAGGAGCTTGTGGATAAACAGCAGGAACTCATTCAAAAGAAGATGAGAGTGAAGAATCTGATAAAACAGTCCTCAGGAGACGTGGAGGCAGGTGGAAGTAAAGACACCGAAACCTCAGCCGAGGCATGGAACAAAAAAGGTTTGCAGAGTCAAATTCAAATATCTTAACAGAGAGGTAAACTAATTCAGTAGGGGAAAGTGCATTCATAGAGAGTTTTGTTTGGATAATTTTATTGTCCTATTTAATTTTCATCAGCTGGGTGACCTGCTATCCTACATGGGGTAACGTTTGTACTCACTGGACATTTCTAAATACTAATCTGAGTTCTGAGCAGAATTATTACAAGAATGGCTTGTCACAACTACTTCTATTCTTTCCTTGTTGCAAAGTCACAACTTGATTTGATTTGCTCTAAGAATCCCAGAGTAAATTTTTATTGCAATGCTCGTGTACTTAAATTATATTGCAGGGCTAAGAGTTGGACTCGATTCTTGTGGGTCCCTTCCAATTCAGAATATTCTGTGATCCTGTGATATTGCAATACTTACATTCCCACTTTGTGCTCTAAAAATAATTGCTCTGGATCGTCTCAAGATTTGAGAATAACAGTTTTGCACTCTGAGTTCTTTCCTGCTTGAGTGGGTAGGACATTGGTGGTGTTTGACATGGGTTATGCAGCTTCACCATCGTTCCAAATTAATGCAAATTAGATAGATGCTGACTGCCAAATTAATGTAGAATACATTAGTATGGTGGAGTTAGTGCAAGAGGCAAGTGCCCCATGGTGGTCTGAGGGCTGCTGTCCTTTTGGAAGTGCTGTCTTTTCAAGTTCAGAGATCTTGGATAGTTGGTGGGTCTTGACCACATTATGCCTTGCCAAATTTGACTCAGATATTTTAATTATTTTTCCCTTCCTTTTTTACTTCAATTGCAATTTGGAAATGTCTGTATCTATTGTATGTATTTGCTTTTTTTGCTTTTTAAAAAAATGAAATTATTGTGTAGTTTAATCCATATTTATCTATATTTGAGAGAACTGCTATGCATATGTAAGAATACTGATACTTTATAATTGCAAATTGATGCTATTGAACAAATTATTTGTTTTGGGTAGCTCTGTGCCTAATTCTTTCCTCTTGTGCTTTGAAAACCAACATCTTTGCAATCCCATGCTGAGTGCACATTGAATAAGAGCAGTGGCTAAATTTAGTCCCAGTATAAAGCTCATGGAAGTCAGTAGGAAGCTTTTCTTGGGTATAGAGAGCCTGGGATCTTGGCTGTGCTCTTTGTAAACTTCTTTGTAATGTCCCAGAGTTTAATTCTTGTATTGCATGTGGTGTAACCTGGGGTTCCCACAGCTTTTCTGCATTTTAATTTTAATGGCATGAAAAAAGTTCATACCATTGCATCTGAAACTTAAGTTTTTTACAATATTATCTCTTTAAATAATGCAGTCTTTAGCTCTTTATTGAAAAAAATACATTGGAGTGATTATTTTGGGGAAGATTAAACTTTCCCCCCACCTTTTTAGTAAATGCTTATTATTGATGGAATATATGGAAAAAAAAAAAGGCATCCCTGCTTCATTATACTATTTGTAATTGCTGCATTTGTATGAGGGAAGGGTTTGGACAACTGTTGCAGGGCTCAGGGTCTGGTTTGATTTATTTCCAGGGTGGGCTTCTCATTTCCAGTTAATTTTGGACTAATGAGTTAACATGGTCATTAGGGCTTTGAAGTTCTTCATCTGCTTGTGAGTTTTTTTGCATTAGTTCACATTTATGTGCAATGAGAGCTTTGATCTGGGGGTGGACTGTGTTTACATTTTATAGAGTTTCCAAAAGTCCACCCTAGAAACTGGTTTAAATGGACTCAGGCTGTGTATGGCTTTTTCTGTGCCATTACTGAATCTTTAAACACTTTCCCAGAACTTAAAATTGTGTTGCTTCCTGATTTAGTTATTGAATATGTAAATTACCCTTCCTTCTTATATTTCAACTTGCTTATGAAACATGTTTGTTGTTGTGGTTTGTTTTTTTTCCCTTTAACAGATTTTCCATGGTATGAGAAGATAAAAACTGCACTGCAGGGCAAATTTAAACTCCAGAAGTTTAGGTCACTGCAACTTGAAACAGTAAATGCTGCAATGGCAGGAAAGGATATATTTCTTGTCATGCCTACAGGTGGTGGCAAGAGCCTTTGCTACCAGTTACCAGCTGTCTGTTCTGATGGTATGTAAGGAAAAAAAAAGGACATACATAAAGAAGTGCATTTATTTTCTCTCTTTTATAGGTATGTGGAAAATGACCACTATGCTGGTGTCTGATATCACAGTATGGGGGGGAAAAAAGAGCAACTGCATGAGATAGATTTGCTAGAAATATTTGCTTTACTCTCTTTATTTTCTCTGAAGGAGCAATAGCTGCTTTAAATTATTTAAATCTAAATCATATCTCCAAGGCACATATTTCATCAAGATTCTACTCAATGCATTTTATTATTAAACACTGAAAGAACTTTTAAAAAGTTTGTCACTATTTTTTCTTTCTTTCCTTTTTAATTCAATACACAGACTGTAAAGTATTGAAGTATGGATATCTATCATTTGTCTCTTCCACTCTGAAGCTTGAGCTTCAGATTATTTGGGATAATAATTTTTAAAAATAAGTATCCAGTTCTGGTTTTTAAGCTTTTTTTGGTGGTTTTGTTTGATTGGTTTGATTTTGGTTGGTTTTTTTTTTTTTTTACATAACCCATCCAATTGCATGGAACTTTATTTATTTACAAAGACCAAATTTACCATTACCTACCACTGCTTAGTTCTGTGGTAGATTTCCCTCATGACTCAGATATCCAACTTGCTTTGGTTTGTATATTGATTTTTATACTCTGTTTGTTGCAGCTCAGTTGCTTGTGGTCTAGATCCTAAGAGGAGGTGCATGTGATGGACATTTAATAAGAATTATCCCAGTGTGATCTGGCACTCACTTGTCAGCTATTTTGGAAGGGAATCTGCTGCTGTGTATGAAGCTTAAGCTTACATTTGGCAGTTTCTCGAGAGCAGGGCTGATGCATTAGTAAAAAGTATTAGAGGAGATATTTGTGACATGTGAAGAGTTCAGTTGGCACAATGATTGATTGTTACAGGTTTCACACTCGTGATATGTCCTTTGATATCTCTTATGGAAGATCAGCTCATGGTTTTGGAACAGCTTGGTATTTCTGCAGCTTCATTAAATGCCTCGAGCAGCAAGGTATGTTTAACTGCCAAGTCTTCGTGGTTTTTGTGCTGTATGTGCTGGTGTCTCACCTCAGTGTTGCTTGTCAGTATTGAATGGATGACACAGATTTACCAGCTAATGTTGTTCTGTCAACAGTATCTTGCCAGCAAGGTGCTGTGATATGGGTAATGTGAGTGAGTATCTTTTGTTCTTGTTTTAATGACATCAACAAACATGGAAACCAACAGCTTCCATGGAATAAATAGGTTTCTTGGGGCTGTTTAGAGGATGTGAAGTACCTTTGGCTGGTGTGTGTTGTAAATTTTTACTTGGTTTCTAGGCTTGGACTAGGTGATTTTTGTCCACTAGTAACATGATGAGCCCTGCAGGCTTTGACATTACTATTTATCTCTCTTTAGGATGGAAAGATGTTCGATCCAGAGGCCAAAAAGCAACTTATTTCCCAACTTAGTCTGTTATTAGTCAATTGCTTTTTAAAGTAAAATATATTTTCCTGACTAGCAGGAGGCTGGGATCATTAACTTTGCACGTGACACTGGATTTGATAAGTCAGTGGCTTGATGCAGTGTGCAAACTTGAAGCCTACTTTGAGGCAAAGCACTTTGAAAATTCAGTAATAAAGACCACGGTTGTGTGCAAGAAATTATTTTACACTTGTAGTACCACTGGCATATTTGGTACATTATCATGGCAGGGGGGTTGGAACCAGGTGATCTTTCAGGTCCCTTCCAACCCAGGCCACTCTATGATTCTGTGATGATCATGCTTCTACTGTATGATCAGATTATGGCAGAGAATTATCCCAACTGCCAACTGTTACAGTTTACTGGGAAAATACTGATACCACATGATGAAGCAAAGACAAATATTCAATACTCTGCCTTTTCAAAGTTCCACCAGAGATTTTTCCAAGTATTAAAATGAACATTTTATATATAACAATCTTCTCCAGAGGCTTACAGTAGTGGTAAACACCGTGTAACAGTTTGTCAGTCTCTGTTAATTACCCCTTCTGAATTGCTAATCACCTCATAAGAGCCTTAGCACTAAGCAACTTGAGCGTGCTGTCCCAGTTTGTTACCCGCTGCTGTCTCCTTTTGTTTTGAACAGGAACACGTGAAGTGGGTCCACAGCGAAATGCTAAACAGGAATTCACAACTGAAGCTCATTTATGTGACCCCAGAGAAGATTGCAAAGAGCAAGATGTTCATGTCCAAGCTGGAGAAGGCTTACCAGGCCGGGTGTCTGGCTCGTGTTGCTGTGGATGAGGTCCATTGCTGTAGTCAGTGGGGCCATGACTTCAGGCCTGGTATGCTCCTCAGAAACCCAGTCTGCAGGGTTATTCAGGCATAATTGGGCCTGAAATAAAGCTGCTTTCTTCATGTGTTGAGTAAATTCTTAGTGTATCACTAGGACCTCTGTTGGCTCAAGGAATTTAATTCACAAATGACTGTATCCTTGCCCAGGAGCTAAGTGCGTGCAAATAGGGATGATTTCAACTTAGATTTTTCTGTCAGTGTTCTGAAAAACTCCTTATTCATTTCACTTTAATTGGAGCTTCATAAAATCAACGTTTTTGGCTGCTGTCTCTAATATGGACAGTACAGTTATCTTTAATCTACTGCTACATGAAAAAGTATCATTCTGTGCACTGTTCCCTGGCACTTTGGGTGACAGAGGTAGAGCACTTTGTAAATTCATGAGATATATTTTAACCACCTCTAAAGCAATTGGAAACAAATGCCCTTGACTTGCAGGGGAAGAAAGTGTGCTTCAGTCTCTTCCCTGTCTTGGCAGTTGTAGAATATTGTTACTGGTTACTGTTTCTTTGCCTTTGAAAGAAAACCTGATTTGAAGCAATATGACCTGTAAAATCAACCTTTGCAGTTTTTCTGAACAGTGTTGTCAGAGCCAAGAGCCATGACAGTTAAACAGGCAATGTGGCATTTGGATATGCACCTCTGGCTGCGTTTCTGTTTTAAGGCAGCAAGTGATTGTCAGTATTGAGCCTTTAAATTCTTTCCTTATTACAGTCTGGTCTGTGTATCCAAATTCCACATTGCTTATTTATTAGCAAAGCTGTGTTTACTCAAAAGCTGTTTGTAAAAACAGATTGGCAAAATAACCCAAATACTGGTTAATGTGATGCCACTCACTTTTCCTAACTTGTCTGATAATTGCAGCCTTCCAGTACCTGAAGGGAGCCTACAAGATAGATGGAGAGAGACTATTTACAAGAAAATGTAGTGACAGAACAAGGAGAAATAGCTTCAAACTGACAGAAAGTAGGTTTAGATTAGATATTAGGAGAAAATTCTTTACTGTGAGGGTGATGAGGCACTGGAACAGGTTGCCCAGAGAAGCTGTGGATGCCCCATCCCTGGAAGTGTTTAAGTCCAGGTTGGATGGGGCTCTGAGCAACCTGGTCTAGTGGAAGGTGCCTTGCCCATGGCAGGGGGGTTGGAACTAGATACTTTTTCATGTTCCTTCCAACCTAAACCATTCTGTGATTCTGTAAAATTGAATTAGAAGACATCTACTTTGGTAACTGCAGTATTATCCCACTGGATACTATCTACATAAATATATTTTTTAAAGTTTGGATTTGTGGAGAGAAATCTATTTCCACATTTGTTTTTCTTTTTTCTTGCTTAGACTACAAGTCTCTTGGTATCTTGAAAAGACAGTTTCCCAATACTCCCTTGATTGGATTGACAGCAACAGCTACAAATCATGTTTTAAAGGATGCTCAGAAAATTTTGCAGGTTCAGAAGTGCATTACCTTTACTGCCTCGTTCAACCGGCCCAACCTGTACTATGAGGTAGGTCTTTGTTCAGCTGCATTGCTGTCGTGTTGCCTCCTGTAAGGTACAGCTGATGAGTTTTAGAGTAGATTTTTTTAGACTAGATTTTAATAATCAACAGCTTTTTAGTGATTGATGGTGTTATTTGATTGCTTCATGTTGCTGAACCCCTCTGCCGAGGGGCTTGGGCTGCTCTGTCTGTGTGAGCAAGGCTTAGCAGACAGCAGAGTGTACAGGAGAGAGGCAGGCAGCAGGCTCAAACTGCTGCAACCTGCTGGAAAATATGTCCTCTGATGGCAAAAATTATTGTGTCATGCTGCATTTTCAATTTGGCCACGGGTTCTTTTATTTTTCTAGATGATGAGGAAAACTTATGGGTTTGTTTTTCTATGGACTTTTGAGTTGTAGTCTGACTGTACACAAAAAGAATTTTTGTTAAATGGCAGAATAGTTTTGTTTGTCATACTGTAAGAAATAGAATAACAGGATTGTTTGACACACTGTGTGCTCACTTGAACTCTGACATATGTGTATTTTACTTCTGAGGTTCGGCATAAACCTTCAAATAATGACGATTTCATTGAGGACATAGTTAAAACCATTAATGGAAGATACAAAGGACTGTCAGGTAAAAAATGTCAAAAAAAGTGCACATATTATTTTTCATAATCTTGAATGTTACAGATGTTGGGATGTTTTCAACTGATCCTGAAATGTGTAAAGAAATAAATTCTACCTTCACATTTACATTAAGGATCCAGCATTAGAAAAAAATGAAATTTCATAAGATCCATACCTTGAACAGTTTCTCTCCTCATTTATTAGTGTTTAAATCTCTTTACTGCCTACTTGTATCTTTTGAAGTATTGAAATAGAATGTTGATGTATATAGAACAATGTTCACATAGATAGGAATAACAGGAATTTTTAAGATCATAAAAACATTTCTACATGTGTCATTGAATATCTGTGTCAGGAGACTTAGTATCTTTGATGCTTCTTTTTCATATTTGATTATATGATTCATCTATTATTTAGTGCCCCCAATGGGTGTTATAGGTTGATTCATGTTGAAAGCAGAACTGTGTAAGTTGGACTTGGTGTAATCAGTGAATTATGTATTGCAAATTAAGAGGAGGGACATTTTGCAAAGGCAACAGAACCTGGTTTTCTGGAGCAGCAGTTTATCCCTGTCTCTGCTGTGAGCTCTGTGGATGTGACGAGCAGCTTCTAAGGAGCTGTGCCAAGATGATCACAAGATGATCATGGCCTTGTGTGTAATCCCTGACTTAGCCCAGACTGACTAATGACAAAAAGCAGATTTATCTGAAACCTCAGGTGAGATGCCATAGATGTCATAAGGAACAGCACCTCTTTACATAAGCTTTCATAAGCATTGTCCTCCATTAACATTAATAGAACACTCCTATGATTGTGTGGATTGACAATCATATTTCTTCTTTAGCCTACAAGTCCAAGCTGATAATTGAGGTTTCCTTCATGGATACAAATACTGCAGACTGAATAGACACAAAGACTGTATAATTCTTTTTATGCATTATTTTTAAGTTAATAAAACTTTCACAATTGTTTTTGAGTGTTGGAGATTGTTTGGCTTTTTCAAGGCATTACAATGATGGATCTTTCACTTTTGTGCAGGAATTGTTTACTGTTTTTCTCAGAAGGATTCCGAGCAAGTTACTGTGAGTTTGCAGAAACTGGGAATCAAGGCAGGGACTTACCATGCAAACATGGATGCTAAATATAAAACCAAAGTTCATAAAGGATGGGCAGCAAATCAAATCCAGGTTAAGTAGATACTTTTCTTGGACTTATGTCTCATTCAAACAAATTGTGTTTTGGTACCCTGATGGTTTCCTAATCTCTTTTTTTCAGGTTGTAGTGGCAACTGTTGCTTTTGGCATGGGAATTGATAAACCTGATGTGAGGTTTGTAATTCATCATTCTATGAGCAAATCCATGGAGAACTACTACCAAGAGAGTGGACGTGCAGGTGGGAAATGGCTTTTGCAAGGCCACCATTTACATCCATTACACCAGTAAAATTGTACTTCAATTTTTCAGCCATTTGTGCAAAGTCTCTTGTCTCTGAGACAGGTTTCAAAGTGTATAATGACACTCTGCCTCTGTCAAGAGGCTTTAAAGCAAATATAAACTGCATTCATGATCTCAGGCCTCTGTTGCAGTATAACAAGGAGTAAGTGGGTACCCAGCCCTTCACTCAGCACTTTTTAATTACTTGATTTTTATGACAATCGGTGGCTTACCAGAATGGATGTATGATTTTTTTAGTTATTTTCCTATGTCTAGAAACTGGGCTGTGTGATTTGCTCCAGTTGTCTCTAGATGATGTCTAATCATCATATGAATTTCAGTGACCACAAGAATACAAGTAGGATGGAAAGTGTGGAGCAGGGAACTTTAAGGAGTGATCACTGTATAGCAGAATAAATAGCTGTTATGGCTAAAAAAATGTTTAGTGGTGTTCTGGTTTTTTGATCTTATGCATCATTACTTTTTCAAAAGCAGAGTTGAATCTACATGGAAAAAAGCTTTTCAGGGACCTTGAGGGGCAACTGGTTGAGATTTTAATTTTGTGTTCATTTTTATGCATTGCAGGTAGAGATGACCAAAAAGCTGACTGCATTTTGTATTATGGTTTTGGAGATATATTCAGGATCAGCTCAATGGTAGTGATGGAAAATGTTGGGCAAGAGAAGCTCTATGATATGGTATCTTACTGCCAAAATATGAACAAGTAAGTTACTCTGGTGGCTTGGTTGTTTAGTCTTTAAATAGTCTATTTTTGTTGGGTTCTTTAGAGGGCATTTGAAAAAAAAAAAGCAAAACAACCCAAAACAAAACCAAAGCCCAACCCATCACCAAACAAAACCACTCACAAGAACAAACTTGCCAGCTTCAGGATAAAATTTTGGAAGAAGTGAAATACCTGTCAGCCAACACTGTTTGGATTTCAAATCCCATCCAGAGGAAAAATTGGAATGCTTTGGTTTTTACTCTAATGTACAAGTGTTTAATGGCCATATAGAAATCCACATGTGCTTAATGCTTTATCTACTGCACTGAACTATTGAGAATACTTTATAGAAAACACTTGTATCCATGTTGTGGACTTTGTTAGCCTCGGTCTAAGAATGAGTTCATATTCTTAGGATTTTTCATTCTGTTGAAATTGCAGATTATACTTTTCTGCTTTGACCAAACTGTTCCTACATCAGTGTTAGCTCATTATTCCTGTTGGCATAACTGACAGGGGATACTGTGTTGCAATATTTGTTTTCTGATTTTTTCCTGAGATAATTCTTCATGCTGGTCTTGAGATATGAGCTGTCCCAAGGGCCCCTCTTGTTTCCATTTTCATGGTTTATAACCCTTGGGTTCCATAGTCCCTCTCTGCTCTCCCAGGTGTCGCCGGGTGCTCATAGCCCATCACTTTGATGAGGTGTGGGATTCTGCAAACTGCAACAGAATGTGTGATAACTGCTGCAGAGAGAACGGTGAGTGAAGGACAGAGAACGTGGGAAAAGATGGCTTAAGGAAATATATCTAGTTTAGAAAAACTATAAGCAAATTTTGTGAACTGTGCTTGTAATACCCCCTGTTTTCGAGGCACAAATTTCATTATGCATTTCAGCTTTTGGTGTTGCCAAGTTCAGGGTGTTTAGCAGGATACTTCCTGGTTTGGTTTTCTGCCAAACACTTTGGTATCCTTCAGTCTCAGCTGTTCCCCTGTTCCCAAAAGGTAAGCTGGGGCAAAGGGAACGTTGGCTTACTTGTTTAAAAAAGATTCTGGTAGGAGTCAGGTTTTGTTTTAGGGTTTGGGTGTAAAAGGTTTATTTGAGGAGGAGCCCCTTGCTTTCTGCATGCCAAACTGTTCATATTTAGGCTCTGAGAAGGTACAGTTTGCACATCCTCTCACTACTTCCCTGGTAAAATCCCTGAGGATTTCAGTGCCACGTGCTCATGAATTGTACCTGTGTCAGGACTGTGCATGACAGGTGTGCAGAACAGCTGAGCACACTAACTCAGGGCTTTGCTCTGTGTTAGCCCTAACAGCACAATGTGTGTCCAGCCTGTGCTCTTCCTTTGGAAAAAAGCTGGGATCATAAGAGTGAAGGCACAGAGGGAGGTTGGAAGATAAGCTGAAGCAAGACCAGCTGCATGATAAGAGGATGGTTTCAGTAGAACGTGGTTCTGGGATATCAGTTCTTTTGCTGTTTTGGCCACAAACATCCTGAGGTTGTTGGGGAGCTCATTCTTGCTTTAATTGTCATTTTTGGTACTTGTCAGAAAGCTGAAAGTCACAAAAGATGCACAAAACATCTGTTGCTGCATTTATAAAGTGAGCACTGTGGTTTAGACATAGGAAAGCCCCGAAGAAGCTAGAAACTGAAAGCAGTGCTGAGAGAAAATTGGTCTTGGGCATCTCTAACTGGACACACAAAACCACCTTATAATTCTTTAAGGACCAGATGTATATTTGTAATATGAGGAGATGGTATTTTGCACATATCACATACCTGTTGCAAAAAGGATTTGGATAATATAGTGATCAACACTTGAAAAAACTTAGGAACAACTCTGTATTCAAAGCTATTCTCATAACTAGACTTAATTTCCATCTACATGTTTTGGGATGTAAAGTAGACAAAAATTTAACTTTTTTTTTCTTTATACAGTTAATTATATAATAAAACTGTTTTGCAAAATCATGCAAGTGACAATGTCTTGTTATCTTCTAGTTAGAAAGGGGGTTTCTTTGAAATTTTATACTGGGATCAGAGGTTGGGAAGAGTAAGGAACTGGCTTGTACCCAAGGCTTACAGGAGCCATGTGGTGAAATATAGCTGAGATATATCCTGTTTACTGCTGGTTCACCCCCAGGGCCTTTTGATACACGAGCAAGGTCTGAGGAAACCTTGCAGCAGTACTCGTTTTTCACTACTTAATTCTTAGTATTGGAGGAGGCAGTTGGGGTAATTCTGTGCCATAATCTGATCATGCACAAGAAGGGTGATCATTATGCTTAGAATAATTATTGGTGAAGCTTATTTTTATAATGTAATTAAGACCTTTTTTTCTGTCTCATTTTGTCCATAAGTGTCTTGAGAGAATAAATGTGTCACTTATATTCTTCACTCCCTCTGTGCTCTCTGATCTTATCATAATAAACACTGTGGGTGAGGAAAAGGGATCCAGCTGTAACATAGTAGCCACCTTGCAAATTCCGTGCTTCCTAAATGCTTCTTTGAAATAATCTGTGTGGTTTGTAACATTAAATACAAGTAGAAACGTTTGCCAGATTGGAGTTTCAATAATGAAGTAGAAAGACAGATGTGAGTACAAATATATCCTAATGGTCAGAGGGGAAAGTTACAGCTTTATTTGTTAAGTTACAGTTTTAAAACAAAAAAAAAACCCAAACCAGAACATTGCTATTATGCAGCAGATATGCATTTATCTATCTCTAAATATATAAAAGTATATACATGTATATATGGATACTATCTAAATAACCATAAATAACTTGCTATTTAAATATTCTTTCACTTTTATCTGCAGCATGTGAGAAGATGGATGTAACAGGATACTGCAGGGATCTAATCAAGATACTTGAGCAAGCTGAAAGCATGAGTGAGAAACTCACCCCACTGAAACTAATTGATGCGTGGTCTGGGAAAGGTGTGTCCAAGTTCAGGGTGGCTGAAGTTACTCCACCAAAGCACCCTCGAGAGGAACTGGAGAGAATTATTGCCCATCTACTGCTGCAGCAGTATCTGAAGTAAGATGACTAGTTTTGTTTGTTTTGAATTTTTTAAACATCTAGTAGTCATATTTCTTTATTCTTTCGTTACTTCTGTATAGCATTAACAGATACATTCCACAGTCTTACTTTTAGCCTTTGTTTCAGGTGCATTTAATGTATTTTTAAAATTTCACACATATTACTATATTTCCACTTCAAAAACTGGAGGAACATTTGCAGTGCTGCATCTTGGGCAATTTTAAAAAGCTGTGGTCTTCTGTATTCGGGTTAAACCTTTAAATCTGCAGCAGGCTTCATTTTGGACAGGTCTGCTGTTTATATAGATCTCATTCACCTTCCATGGATAAGGAAAGCAAAAGGGGTGGCCCACATAAAGTCTAAGTCAGGATAGGCTGGCAAATGTGGAAAGTGGTACCCAGAAATGTTAAGAAAGCATAGTGAAAATAACAGTCCTGCTTTTGTAAGTTGGCTGTCAGTGTTTTGTCTGCTCTACAAGTTCCAGAATATGTACAAATCAAATATTTAATCCTTTTATTTTTGTCTTAATTCTTCTTTGCATCTGTTTGTACAGCTGACTTTTTTTATACTATTAAGAGAGTGAGAAGATGACTTACTACATCTTTTTTTCCTCATTTTCCTCCATGTCTTCCAAGAGGTGTCTGAGTGTGTGTGTAAAGGTCCACAAACTGAATTATGTTAAATATTGACCAGACTGGCTCGAAGTTAACTGACTGTCCACTTGAATAAATAAAGCAGAACCAAGCTGGTACTTGGAACATTCAACAGAAGGGTTCATGTGTCCCTTTTGTCATGGAAAGGGTTGTCAAGATTGAACAGGATGCCCAGGGAAGCGGTGGAGTCACCATCGCTGGAAGCATTCACAGTATGTGTGGATGTGGCACTTGAGGACGTGGTTTAGTGGTGGTGCTGGGCTGATGGTTGGACTTGATGATCTTAGAGGTCTTTTCCAACCTTTTAATGATGCTGTGATTTTTTCCCCTGCATGGTCAAGCCTGTCTTTGTCTCCAACCTTCCCTTGTAACACTGATTTAATTCATGCAGGGAAGACTTCAGCTTCACGGCATTCGCTACAATATCCTACCTGAAGGTGGGACCCAAAGCCCATCTGCTGAGAAACGAGGCCCATGTCATCACTATAGAGGGGATAACAAACAGGAAGAGTGTTCACAAGGTATTTATATCTCTACTGATTTGTTATGTAGATATCAGCTCCATTATAGCTTATTTTAATAGTTTGGTATCTGCTCAAAGTATTTTTGTAGCAATGCAATCAACAGGATTTAAAACAGGCCTCATAAGTATTTTCTCTTGTTGTGCAGGAACGTGGAAAAAGAAGGAAAACAATGTTAGAATTCTAACAGAATTGTTTATAACTTACAGGTCAAACCATCTCAACCTTCAAATTCGAAAGGAAGCAGCGAAAATGCTCAGACTGTTTCAAAGGCTGTCCAGGATTCAGTGGGGAAGAAGTTACAGGAGCATAAGCGGCCTGGCTGTGGGTCTAACTTAAAAGCAAAGAAGCCAAAGCTTGAGGCAGGTGGAGTTGACCAACCAGTGGTTATTGACTGAGTTTCACAGACTACATTTAGGATCTAATCACGTTTACTTCTCCATGGACAATGCAGTAAGTTCAGTTTGTGCTTTAGTAATTTCTTTTGCATTTTTTTAAAATAAAAACCAAACAGGGAAACAAGTTATCTAAAAAAAGTCCAGCACTGAAGGGAAAAATGTTTCATAGAATCATAGAATCAGCTGGGTTGGAAGGGACCTCTGTGATCATCAAGTCCAACCCTTGATCCACCACCACCGTGGTTAGTGCCATGGTCTAGTAAGTGCCACATTCAGTCTCATCTGAAAAACCTCCAGGGATGGGGAATCCACCACTTCCCTGGGCAGCCCATTCCAATGCCTGATTACCCTCTCTGTAAAGAATTTCTTCCTGATATCCAACCTAAACCTCCCCTGGTGCAGCTTAAGGCCATGCCCTCTTGTCTTGCTGATAGTTGCCTGGGAGAAGAGACCAACCCCACCTGGCTATGACCTCCTTTCAGGGAGTTGTAGAGAGTGATGAGGTCTCCCCTGAGCCTCCTCTTCTCCAGGCTGAACAACCCCAGTTCCCTCAGCCTCTCCTCATAGGACTTGTGTTTGAGTCCCTTCACCAGCCTTGTTGGTCTTCTCTGGACCTGCTCCACCCCCTCCATGTCCTTCCTGAACTGAGGGGCCCAGAACTGGACACAGAACTCCAGGTGTGGCCTCACCAGTGCTGAGTACAGGGGAAGAATCACTTCTCTGGACATGCTGGCCACACTGTTCCTGATCCAGGCCAGGATGCCATTGGCCTTCTTGGCCACCTGGGCACACTGCTGGCTCATGTTCAGCCTCCTGTCAATCCAAACTCTCAGGTCCCTTCCTGACTGGCTGCTCTCCAGCCACTCTGTCCCCAGCCTGTAGCACTGCAGGGGGTTGTTGTGACCAAAGTGGAGGACCCAGCACTTGGCCTTGTTGAACCTCATCCCGTTGGAATCAGCCCAACTCTCCAACCTATCCAGGTCCCTCTGCAGAGCCCTCCTGCCTTCCAGCTGATCGACACTCCCCCCCAGCTTAGTGTCATCTGCAAATTTGCTGATGGTGGACTCAATCCCCTCATCTAAATCCTCAGTAAAGATATTAAACAGAACTGGGCCCAACACTGATCCCTGTGGGGGACACCACTAGTGACCGGCTGCCAACTGGGTGCAGCCCCGTTCACCAGCACTCCCTGGGCTCAGGTGGGAAGGGACCTTGACAGGTCTGGACCAACCCCTCCTGGAAAGAGAGTCTAGACAAGATTATCAGCCCACTGTCCAGTTGTAGAAACACATCCCTGCTGCCTTCCTTTGAATATCAGTGTTTCCAGGAACAAGTGGCTGTGCTGGCAGCCTGGTAAAGATCCACCAGCTACTGCTGACTGCAAGCATTGCTCAGCACACACAAGGTTGGGTGCTAGATTCAGTTTTATTTATTTACTGACTTTTAAGGTCTTGGCAGCCAAAGATCAATCAGAAAGGCAAGTTCAAACTCATTAATAAATGTTAAGTTCTAGGGGGTGGCATTTTGGTTCTCCCCCTACCCCCTAACATTTACATGTATAACAACTTAAATATAAACCAAACATCATTCATGTCCTTCATCTTTATTTTTCTGATTAAATCGTGACAGTGACTAAAGCTCAGTATTTCATCCATCATTTAACTGAGACCTTTGCAAAACTTGGAATTAATTTAATTAAAAAGAGTCATTCTCTTTAGAGTGATTTTTTTGGGGGAAGTCTCAATATGTACTGAAACCTTTGCAGTTAGTGGAGTACAATAAATTGTTCCCAGTGTGACACTAAATAAAGAGCAGGTCCCAAGTAGCAATTGTAGAACCAAACAAAAAGCTAGAGTGAAACAACCCATGTCCCTGGGTGGCCCTATGAAATCCATAAAGGATATTAAGCATAGCTTAAATTGTTGGGCTTTATCACCTAGGCACTAAATTAAGCCTAGCAACTAAAAAAGGAGGAGCTTGGTTGAAGCAGGTCTGTCCAGCCACATGACTATTATTAAAGTGCATCTTTCATAACTAAACATGCAGCCACTGGGCCAGTTACTACTGAAAACAAACAGCTTAAACCCCCACCGGACACTTAATAGTAGATATTTTGTCAGTAGTTGTAATTTAGTTACGATCACATCAAGTCAAAGTGGGAGTCTATACTTGCAAAAATTCCTTCCTGGAACTAATGTGCAGGACAGTGGTAAAGAGGAGCAGACAGGAAGTGACCAGGACCTGTATTCCCCAAGAAGACTTTCATTAAGCAAATGTAGTAAGTGCCTATTAGGAATCCCATCGGGATCCGGGACTGCCATTCAAAATGGCATCTTGTACCATCTACCACCTCAGCCTGATCCACAGGCTCCTTCCAGGGAAGGCTGCTGCAGGTGACCCCTGCCAGTGCTGCTGTTATCCTTCCTGGGAGTGCACTCAGCCCACTGGTCCTGTTGGAGCTGGGATGGGATGTACCAGTGCAGCTCTACAACTGGAGAGCTGAAGTGAAAAACAGTTAAAAAGCTGCTCTCACCTGACATCTTGTCATGCCAAAGCATGTGTTCTGTACTTAGCTGAGCAGTAAATACATTTATTTGAAAAATAAACTTATGGGGGGGAAAAAAGAAAAAAACAAAGGATAAGGCATCCATCTTGCTGTGTATTTACAGCCCATATTCCAGGTGGTGAGAGCTCTGAGCATCCTGTATCCTAAAACTGTTCATCTGAGCCAGCTGGACAGAGCTGTGGCAGGTACTCACTGGTGTGAGCAGGGGAGTGGTGCCAGTGGGATGGCAACAGGCTGCCTGACTGCTTGTAAACATTCACCTGAGCACATGGTTTGAGGAAGCAGAGGCTTTCCTGACCCTGGCCACGACTCAGCCTGCCCAAGGCTGGAGGAGCTTTTGGCAGGTAAGGCCACACCTTCCCATGAAGGCATCCTGGCTCCCGGGGTGGCTCATGGGCTGATCTGAGGGAGATGCCCAGAAATGAGCCATAGGGAAACTGGGCTCTGGTAACCACAGCAGGTGGAATGGGTGATTTGGGGAAGGGAGCTATGAGGCAGGCATGGGATTTAACATGTTTTTCTTGCCTTTAAAAAGGCTCCCTCACGTTCCAGTGAACACAGCACTATCTTAAAATGTGGCCTTCCCTGTGCTGCTGAGGCTGTTACAGCCCTGTTTTCATATGCTCATCTACACAAAAAGTGTTTGCCAACACCAACCCACTTGCTTTTGTTGCTGCACTTCTACACAGATTAAGCTGCCAGTCAGTATTTTGACAAGATCAACACAAAATCTTAATAGGGAATTGCATTTATCCCTCATTTCTGGTAATCCCGAGAAAACAATTTTACTTTGTATCAAAACTATACAAAATGGAAATGAGGTTTTGTTCAATCAAAATAATCTTCTATATCGATATCTGGGTTCAGGAGATCTTCACCATAGGCTGAAAGGTCCATCTGATTTAAAATTAAGTTTTCAAAGGTTTCTTCCAAGTCCGTTTCACCGATCAGCACAGCTCCCACCATTCGGCCGTTCTGCATCACTGCCTTCACGTACTCCTGTCCCTTGGTACATCTCAGCATCAGTTCGTGGTCTGAGCCCAAGCCCTGAGCATTGTACTTCCCCAAAACCACCACCTAACAGAAGGAAAAGGAGGAAGGAAAAGCGCTCATAAGAACATTGCAGTGGCTTTTAGTATTTCTGCTGCCAGCAGTTCTAGGCCTCAAAAGACAGATGTAAACAGGGAAGTATTCGTCCTTAGGGACCCTCCCACAACAAAACCCACAACAGACTCAGAACTCTTCACCTTGAAATATCATACACAAAACCCCACAGTAAACGAGTTATCATGCTGAACTGTGTTGAATTTATCCATGAGCAGAACCTTAATGAAATGGAATATATACAGGGATACAAGGCAGATCACTTGTCATTCACCAACTGCAAATTGTAATGTATCTGTAAAGATTTTAGCTCTTTTCAGTTTCTGCACTCAAGGTTAGTATGAATGGAGACAACCTGAGCTAACATTAATTACTATGTGAAGAAAACTGTTTTGTCAATATTAAAGCACCTGCTCAGTGTTAACAAGTGAATATAAACTAGCAATCTGTGTTACCCAGTGCTTTAAGACCATTAGACTGAATTTACTTTACCTTGTAATTGAAAAATTTCGTAACGTGAGCAAATAGTTCAAAGCTGAAATCCATGTCAATAGATTCCCCCAAAGTATCTGCTGCCATGCATTTTGCTGCATACCATCCCATCTGCCGAGCTTGAGTCCACAGTCTCATCTAGAGAAGAAAATTGGAAAGATTTAAATCACAAGACACGTGTGGCTGAGCACAGGCCGACACTCGCTGCTCTCCTCAGTGCTCACTGCGTGTTTCTGGGATGCTCAGGAGGGCTGGACAGCTCAGCTTCCTGCCACCCAGAGAAAGTTACCTGTCACCAACACACCCAGGATTAGCTAACTTGCCTAGACTTTCCCTTCTGGGAGTGTGTCACAGTGTGTGATTTGCTCTGTGGGTCAGACTGACTGTCTCAGGCACTCGTAGGGTTGGACGTACCTGGTGCCACACGGGGCTCGGCTCCCAGGCTGCCGTGCAGATGTCCCCAGCTGCGTACACATCTGGCACCGACGTGTGCATGTGTTCATCTACTTTGAGTCCTCCATCTTCCCCTACAGCAAACTGAAGTATTTGCACAGGTCAGCAATGAGAGAAGTAATAATTTTAACTGTCATTCAATTCATCCACCTTAAGCGATCATCTCCTTTGTTACTTTATTATTTAACATGAGACTATCCCAAACGGCAAGACCTCCACAGAAGGTACAGAGCATTAAGATTATTTCTAGAACACAGCACAGGTTTTTAAAATACTATTACTCATACCTAGGCAGGGAAGTGACAGAGCTTGCCAAATTTCAAATCACACTACGTGTGTTACGGGGACACCCAGTCTTAAGATTTCATTTTGTATTTTTGCCAAGGTGAGAAAATACCAATGCAAAAACCTAATTCCTGATCTATCCTTATAATGCAGGCCTGGAAATCTCTCATGGTTCAACATCAGATCTATGTTTTCAGCATTTTCTTCTGCTTTAGTCAGAGCATGGCATTTTACTTCCTAATCAGACGGAACCACTAAACACCAAACACCCCAACATACTCGTTTTGTCTGGGATAATTTTCTTAGTTGTTGCTGGTATGGGGCTATTTTTTGGATTTGTGATGAGAACAGTGTTAATAACCCAGGGATGTTTTAGTTGTTGCTTGGGTAAGCAGAGCTTACCCAAGACCTTTTCTGTTTCTCCTGCTGCCCTGTCAGCTCTAAGGCTGGGCCTGCACAAGAAATTGGGATCGGAAGCAGCTGGGGCAGCTGACCCCACTGACCAAAGGGGGACCCCAAGCCACATGATGTCCTCAGCAAGAGAAGCTGGGGGAAGGAGGAGGAAAGGGGGACATTCATAATTATGGCACTTGTCTTCCCAAGTAACTGTCGTGCCTGTAAACCCTGCCTTCCTGGGAACGGCTGAACATCTCCCTGCTGATGGAAAACAGTGAATGACATTTTTTTGGTTGTGTGCACAGCTTTTGCTTTACCTAAATTGTCTTTATCTCAAAGTGAGATTTCTCACTTTTAACTCTTGTGCCTCTGTTTCCCCTCCCCTCTGTGGGGACCCAGGGAGCAGCTGGCCAGGGTTCAACTGGACACTGAACAGGGACACAGAATGGTCCAAAGGCTGAAAATTCTCATGGCAGCTACGAACTCTGGAATCATCATCCACGTTTGGATGTTGATTCAGTGTGACTTCCCTTGGTGAATATGAGCACTGCTATAGCTCAGTGTCCCAGATGAAGAATACTGGAAATAACTGCTTCCTTCCCAGGAGAAGATGTTAAGATTCTTAAAATAAGAATACGCTGCAGAATTAACACAAAAATTATTCTACTTTTTTCCACATCAGCCAATTATACAAGTGTTTTTCTCTATTTGTATAGGCTTAGTTTAAGAGCTATATACTGTGTATATACACATGGGGAGCAACATAATAAGCCAAGACCAGAAATAAAATACATTTTTCTCATGCTGGATGTTTCAATATCAACATACCCGCCTCATTTTGAGATGCTGCACAGTATTCAAAACCTTTAGCAATCTGTATTTCACACCAGAACAGAAACATAAAAAAAGCATAAAGCTTCTTTCACCTTTCTTAAAAGAAACTTAAGCTCCAGAAGAAATCAGTATACTTACATTATTGCCATCCAGGAATGGTTTAACATTTGGCACTACTCCAGTTGCACTGACAATGAAATCGCAACCGTAAATTTTTCCGTTAGTTAATTCCACATATACAGGCCACAGCACTGAAAAAGGGGAAAATTTTGCCCTGAGAATGTAACCAACAGAAATTATTTTATTTATTATGTTTTATAATTGGATATGAAATAAAAAGAAAAAAAATCTTTTGAGATAATTTTCATTCAGTGGAATTTATAGACAGAATTATTCATGAAACAAGGAATATTTTCTTCTAGTTTCAAGGTTTACTTCAGTTTTCAAACAAAATGTTGGTGGTTTTTTTCCTTCTGTTTTAACTAGACTATTAAAATGTGACTTTACTGGACTGGGACAAGGAGGGAATGTTTTGCATACAGGGTTTCGGTGACTTTATGGAAAAAGGGTCTGACCCATGAAGTTTTGTAATTTAACTGTAGCCCATAAATTTGATACTGTAAGTTGCTAGACCCCCATTTATAGAGATAAAGGATTTATGTTCCAAATCTGTATTTGCTTGCAAACAAGATCAAACATGCTCCAGCACTGATTTATCTTCAACACATTGTTTTTAATCAGCACTGGCACTTACCCTGATCTGGTTCTACATTTTTCTCTTCTTTAGGAAAAGTCAGAGAAGTCCTCTGCAGTTGTATAAATTCTTGCTGTAAGTGTATGTTCTTCACTTCACATAACATTTCAATATGTACTTTATGAGAAAACTAAAGAAAGACAAAGTTGTAAACATAATGATTAGCAATAACAAGATTTTTAATAGCAAGTACACCTTCACCTAAGTTGACATTACTAAACTGAAAAAAACCCCACCATATATCCCATCCTAAAGCATGAGACATTAGCCAGGTTCCCATGCTTTTTCCTCTTTTTGGCACAGATCTAACCATAGCCAATGGCAATTTACCTGCTTTTTCAGATACATGATTTTTCTGGCATGCCAGAAAACATATTCAAGTTCCCCTGAGCTTACAGGAAGAGAATTCAAAACTTATCAGAACAGAAAAAAGTAAATTCATCTTTTCTATTTTTCAGGATTGCAAATACTTCGTTTTTCTATCATGAGTGAAATTCGGCTAACAATATTAAGTTTATGGTCTAAAAGCCATAAAAACATATTCTATTCCATCAACCTGTGTTTCAACCACTTACCTCTATTCTGAGCTCAAAACAGAAGGTGGAGTTCCCTGGTTTTTGAACTATTTTGTGGATTCTGGCCTTGAACTGCTTTATTCTCCACTACAGAAACATTTCCACAGCCTTCAACAGCCAAACCACCACCAATTAAGCTGCTGAATATCCTGAACATCCTTTAGTTGGTGTTCTAAAGCCACTTCTGTAGAATCTATGACTGATCACCTTTAAAAGGTCATTTCTAAAAATGCAAACCAGATGCAAATACCTGACAGCTAAGAAATTAATAAATAAAAAAATGGATTAAAAATATGCAATGTGAGGATTTTTACTTTTTTTCAAA